CAGCAGAGGACATTAGACCCTGCTCTTGATGCCTGACCCCATCACCCTGAGCCTAGAGAAGTCATATCTGCAACATCAGCCGTGCTATTCAAGGCTGGGAGGTGCTCTCCAAGATGGGTCTGGGGTCAAAGAGCTGTGCCACCTCTCACAGTGCCCACCTGCTGGCCTGGGGATGGAGAGGAGCCAGGGGTGACAAGGTTGTGGCTGCTCAGCTCCCCGCAGAACATGTCCCCTGCCTCCCCCAGGAACGGCGGCAGAACCGCTGGGTGGTCTACGAGCGGCTGGGCCTCGAAGATGACATTGTGGATCCCTCCAATGAGCTGATCAAGGAGGGGCCGATCCAGAAGATCTCCACCCGCAACAACAGCACATCGGAGAAGTACCTGTTCCTGGTGGGAGCCGGGGTGCCCCGGGGGAGGGCAGGGAGCAGATAAGATGGGAATGGGAAGAGAGGCAGCACCACCTCACTGGGGTGTTGCTGGGTCATCTTTACACAGAGGGGGTAAATTCAGAGCTGGGAGGTTTGACCTGTGCAGGGCACCCTGCACAGAAGGTGACTGGGAACCTGTGGAGCCCTGGATGCTCCCAGAGCACTTCACCTGCGAGGGTGGGAGAGGGCTGGGGCAGGAACAGTCACTTTTTGGGCTGGATTCTTCCCAAAGACAAGCTCAAGCCTCAGGGGGTGAAGGATTCTAGATCCCAGGGAAGCCCCCAGCTCTGAGCAGGCTGCTGCTGGGCTCCAACCAACCCTATTGCCCCTTCCTGCCCAGTTCAACAACATGCTGCTGTACTGCGTGCCCAAAGTCATCCAGGTGGGAGCTGAGTTCCAGGTCCACCTCCGCATCAATGTGGACAGCATGAAGGTCAGACAGCACCTTGTCTTTGGGCTTCTCCCCAACCCTGGGCCCCACTCTGGGGTGTAATGTGGATTTTGCTCTGTGCTTCCTTGGGAAGGAGGGATGAGCTGGAGCCAGGGGTGGCTTTGTGGGTGAGGAGGACTGGTTGATATTCCCAGATCCTGAGAAGGAGCAGTGAAATCTGGTGCACATAGGATCTGAGGGGCTGAGGGCTTGTCCCTGAGGAGGGAAGTCCCTGTCCCTCACATCATGGAGGAAGGTCTCTGTGTGCTGGACGGGGGATCAGCAGCTCCACAGCCTTTCTGCGGTCTCTCCCAGGTGCGGGAGCTGAATGACACACAGTTTCCAAACACATTCCTGGTCTCAGGAAAGCAGCGGACGCTGGAGCTGCAGGCCAGGTAAGGGGAAGGGTGATGGTCCCACAGACCCTCCGGGAGGAGGGACAGTGGCTTATCCAGCTCCCTTTTTGTACCCAGGTCTGAGGAGGAGATGAACGCCTGGATGAAGGTAGCACTGGGTGCTGGGTGAGGCAGCACATCTCACTCACGCTGGATGCCCTGTGTGGTGGGAATCCTCTCCGACCACCCCTCCATGCCCTCCTTCCCCTCTAGGCCTTCCAAGATGCCATTGACAGGAAGGAGAAGAGGAGTGAGACCTTTAAGACAGCAGTGCATGGGCTGGAGACAGGCACCCCTGCACTGAAGGTAACCCTCCTGCCCTCCCCATGCCCTGCCTGCCTCCAGCACCCCCCTGCACAGCACCCACCTTGCTGTGCCTCAGTTTCCCTTGATAAGAGAGCTGTGGGGAGGCTGCAAATGGGAAGAAGGGCTGAGGAGGGGAAGGGGTGAGAGCAGAGGGGCTGGACCCACCAGACCATGGCTCACCAGCCCCATTGATGCAGTCTCCCACCCCAGACAGAGGAGCTGGGCCGCCGTGCTCCGCAGTGGGTGCGGGACAACCTGGTGACCATGTGCATGCGCTGCAGGGAGCCCTTCAATGCCATCGTGCGCCGCAGGCACCACTGTCGAGCTTGTGGATACGTGAGTCTCCCTGTCCCCCTGTCCTCCCTACCTCCTGGCCTCTCAGGTGGCTGCTGGGGCTGGAGCACACCTCTCCTACACCTTACACTCTTTTCCCTGGGATCAGCGCTGCTCCTGCCCCTCTGCTCCTCATGGAGCTGTCCCTGGGCTCCCTCAGTCTCACCAGTGCCCCTGTCTGATGGTTGCAGGTGGTGTGTGCTCGCTGCTCCGACTACAGGGCTGAGCTACAGTATGATGGGAACCGCCTGAACCGTGTGTGCCAGGAGTGTTACGTCTTCCTGATGGGCCACATGGTGCTCAAGGACCGGGAGGAGAAGCACAAAGGCATCCTGGAGGTGAGCTCTGCCCTTCTGCCCCTCTTCCTCTGAGCTCTGCCACACACCCTGGTCCCTCAGTGCCACAGCCTGGCAGCCAGGACCACCCCACACCTGTCCCTGCATTGGAGGGAACTGTGGATCAGGCAGGGAATTCCCCAGGAAATGGCCATCACTCAGTGCCCTTTTCTGCCTCCTGCACTGGGTGTTCAGGGATGCATGTGGGGTTTTTTTTGGCAGAAGGGAGCTGCAGAGGTCTCAGGCCGGAGTTTGCTCTGCAGTTCCCTGCAGCTGCTGGACAAGAACAGCAAAGGAGGCACGCGGGGCTGGTTCGTGATCCCGCAGGATGATCCCCTCGTGCTGTACATCTACGCAGCCCCCCAGGTAAGACCAGGCTCAGCTCCACCTCCAAGGGCCACCCCGCTGTGCCCATCCCTTCCTCCCACCATGTCTCTGCTCTTGGCAGGATGTCCGAGCCCACACCTCCATCCCGCTGCTGGGATACACAGTGAGGGACCTGCCGCAGGAGAATTCCCAGCACCTTTTCCAGCTGGTGCAGTCCCGGCAGGTCCACACCTTCGTGGCTGACACCGAGGAGCTGAAGCGGCGCTGGATGAGGGTCATGGCGCGCTGCGCCGCAGGGATCACGCACCCCGAGGAGGAGGAGGAGGAAGAGGATGCAGAGTCCTGCGATGAAGCAGAATGAGGCCCAGCTCCAGGTGGGTCAAATCTCCTCAAGCCCATCCTGCTCAATCTGCCATCGGGCAGATCCCAACCTCTCTGCGTTTTGGTTTTCCAGCCCAAAAAGGACAAGGTGGAGGCACATTTGTCACCGCACAGACGAGCCACATCTTCCTTCCCCTCTTTCCGCACTGGACAGGGAGGATGGAGGTACCCAAACCCGGTTTTGAGGAGCCTCAGCCCGCTCTGCCGCCGGCTGCCGCCCGAGGGCAGCAGCGCCTCAGCCTTCCTCCCCGGCCGAGGATGGTGCAGGGGGAAGCCCGGTTGTGTGAAAGCATCTGTGGAATCGAGACCGCTGTGATAAACCCGACCTGCAACCCCCGCTGCAGCCCAACGAGCCTTTTTGGGGGTGGATTTTCCAGAGTGTCCTGTGGGATTGTCACTGCGGCCACACAACGCTGATCTGGGACCTGCCCTGGTCTGTCACCCTGCAGAGACCCAGCTTGTTCCTCACCCCTGCCTGGCCCAGGGGTGCTGGATTTAGAATGTCCAGCTCCTGCCCTCAGAGTGCAGCAGTCTCACAGCCTGCAGTGCTGATCCAGCCTGTGCCCCTGCCCATCCCAGCCTTTCCCTGCACCCCATCCTGCCCTCAAGCACCTTGCACCCTTGTGCCTCTCTCAGTCACTCATTTCCTGGGAGGGGAACACTCTAGGGCTGCTGCAGGGCAGTGATGCTGGGGAGACATGAGGGACATCCCCCCTCCATCGTCAATCAGCGTAAGGAGCACCCCTGGTCATTCACACACTGCTGCAGGCTCCAACCCCACATATTTTGTCTCCACATCTTTTTTAGCCTCCCCGAAGATGGTGCCCAGGAAGAAGTCACCACTTCTGAGCCTGCCAGGGGATGAAATGGGGCGCAGGAGCCTCAGGCAGGGAATGGGGGTGCCCACTGTCCATGTCTGGATCCCACAGGCAGAGCTCAGGGGTGTCATGGGCTAAATAGATCCATGGGGAGCAGGAAGGGAAGTGAGTTGGGGCGGGATACTGCAAATAGGGGCAACACTTGGGCAAAGTATGAGGAGCAAAGGTGAACCACAGCCATTGCCACTCTGGGGGGTGCTTTGGGGAGCATCATCCTCCTTCCTTGGGCTACTCAGCTCACTCCAGCAAAGGGCAAACCAACTGTGGTGGCTTTATCTCCTCCAACTTAAGAGATACCATCAAGGAAGAGGAAGTGGAGCTTGATGGGGGGGGAGAGCTCTGCCAAACAAACTGCCCCTCAGGGTGCCACCCAGCACCCTGGGGTTTCCAGAGACACCCCAAAACCACCCTCACCTCCCACACCGCCTCATGTGATGGGAAACCCCAGCTACCCCAGGAAGAGCCGTGGAGCACAGGGTGCTGTGGGAGGGAGGACGCAGCAAGGGGATGCCCGTGGGGCTGGAAGGTTCTGCCTTGGTGTCACCTCTGGGGCAGCCAGGAACAAAACAAGCCCCGAGCAGGGAGCAGGAGCTGCCTCAGCTCATGAATGGGCCTAAGAATAGATTTCCTGTTTACCCAGTGGGAAACCACTCCTGGGGCAGAGGGCACCTGGGTGCTATTTTTACCAGTCCTGCCCGATGCACTCCCAGCCCCCAGCAGCCCTCAGGGACCAAGAGAACATCCAGAGAATCACAGAGTCCCAGCCTGGTTTGTGTTGGGAGGGACCTTAAAGCTCCTCCAGCTCCAACCCCCTGCCATGGGCAGGGACACCTTCCACTAGAGCAGGTTGCTCCAAGCCCCTGTGTCCAACCTGGCCTTGAACACTGCCAGGGATGGGACATCCATGTGTGCCATAGGAAGGGAGCTGCCAGGGAAGAGGGGTGGCCAAGGGATGATGAAGGTGATGGGATACAGGGCTGGCTGGGAGATGGCATCACTCAGCTGCCATGAGCATCCCATAACAGGCTCATGGGGCAAGGGAGCGATTCTTGCACCCAGGACATGCAGCAAAGACACTGATGGATCTTCTCTCCCGGTGCTTTCTCGGCCCCTCAGCAGTGTCACAGCAACGGCCAAGCAATGCTCAAAGTTTGGCCTCTCTCCTCCCCATGCAGAAAGTGAAACCCTGTGGAGAAGTCACTCAGTTTCCTATTCTTGAGAATGAGGAAGGCTCCGAGGCCATTTACGGGAACCCCCCCACCGCAGCCCCCCCACTACCGCTTCTTGTAAGCACAGACCAAAATATATTGTGAAACCCACACGCCAGCGCTCAGCTGGGGCCGGGCCACCCCTCATTGAGGAAACC